GCATGAGATGTTCATCTTTACGGGTAGCTTTATTCAAATCCCTAAAGTAAATGCATATCCTAATCGTCCTATTCTTTGTAACAACTAGAACTATATTAGACATCATATCTATATATCTTATAGCATAAGTGAATCTTGTCTTAAACAACCTCTTTATCTCTTCTTTGATACTTTACAAGATATTTGGGGCTATTCTTTTCTCTCGGCTAATTGACAAGCTTAGCTATTGATTTGATAAGTATTTTTAACTCCATTAGTTTTTTTTTTTTTCTAGACTTGACATGTCCTTGTAGTCCCAAGCAAAATAGTCTTTAAACTCGCCTTAAAAGCTCTATTATTTCCTTCATATCTTCGGGTTTTAAGTAAGCACTAATATAGATGATCTTTTCTTCTCTTTTAGCATCTAGATTGACTTTCCCAAGAGGATCTACTTCTCTATATGCTCATTTTCTAGGTGTTCTAACCTACAACTCTATTGGCTCTATTGTTGTTGATTGACTATTAGTTATTACCTAATTTAGATGGTACTTTAACATTAATTTTTTTTAGCTACATTATGTATGATAAATGAACAACGAAACCAACCTACCTAATGGGGATATCTTCGAGGTTGTAAATCTTTAGATGGTAGCTTAGGTCTCCTTTCTTTCAAAGTTATCCCCATTGGGTTCATTGTTTATAAGGAAATTATTGCATTTCCTTCTACACTCCTCTCGTAAAGGTGCCTTGTTTGGCTTTTTACTAATTCCTTTTCTAGCTCTTCTATTTTGATGGCCGATTTAGGTTGAATTACACTAGTTATATTCAATAGCTATCCATTCATTAGTATAAAATCATGCCTCTTGATAATTTGCACTTGTAATGAAGGTTTGTCATTTGCATGAACAATCTCATACCTCTCTCTATTTCATAAAAGCATAAGTTGGTGGAGAGTGGAAGGGATATAGCTATTTGTATGTAATTGATTTCTTTCAAGTAATGCATTGTACCTTGAGATTGTCTCCACCATAAAAAAAGGTTATGTTGGTAGTCAATGTACCTACCTTTAAGCTTACTATAAGTATTTCTTGTATTGCTTGCAAACCTACTAACAACCATTTTAGTGGGTATTAGATATTCCTTATTTATTTATTTATTTTAATCTATAACTTCAAACATGTATAAATAGAGTATGTTCACAAACATACCATTATCTATTAGTACTCTATTAACTCAAATACCTTTCATCTTAACCTCGGTATATAATGGCTTCAAATGAACATAAGTTTTTTTTCTTAGACTTTTCCAATAGCACCTTCATTGCCTCCCAACCTTCTATATCTCCATCTTCTTTCTAAATGACAAAGTTTGTGTTTATATAATTTTTTTAAAGATAATCTATATTGTACTCTTCTTGCATCTACAACATCCTTTTTCGATACATCCATATTCATATAATTTGTAGAGAATTTATAAAAAAGCATAATAATCATATTACACTTTCGTTTTTGTGAAATCCCAATGTCTCTATGGTCTATTTCTTCATCTATCGATAAGTAAGTCTTATCATCTTTCAAGGCTTCTAACATCTCATCATATAAGTCTTTCTCTTTCTTTGATTCTCGCTAGAGTAGACCTTTCTAGTTTCTTATTGATTCTTAGATATTGACTCTTTTTATCATCATACTCTTCAACACCAAACTTGATTATCAAATTATTATTGGTCCGATCGATGGTGAAATCCTAATTTATTTATTTATTTTTGCTTTCTAGGTGGCTTCTCTTTTGTAAGCCCCCGAATTTAACGACGAGTAGCTTTCTTATGCTCGTGTTATTCTATGAGGCGATTCTAGTAGTTGTTTTAGCCTTATATTAGGCCATTTTTTTTCTTAGTTTGGTATTTGCTCCTTAAAGTTGTCCAGCTACCACCTAGGTAAAATCATTTTGATTGGTCTTTTTGGAAGCAATCGAGCCTTATAATGACAAATAAGGCGAGTGCCATCCTGGAAAAAATGTGCTTTTCTTATGGAAATTATAGATATAAAACCTATTTGAAGGTTTTTCTCTCTCTCCATTGAGATTCATCCTCTAAAAAATTAGTTCATATTATATCACTAGCTCAAACTCTTTGCAAAATGCCTTCCTTATTGTCTTGAGATTTTCAAAGGGCATGATCGCTTTTAGGGCTTTTTTTATTATTCTCGCCTCTAGAAAGATGTTTTACAATCGAAGTTTGGGTTTTCAAACATTTTTATTCTTATAGGATCACATAAATCAATGAGACCAAAAGCTTGCAATTCATTTTGTTGGGTGTTATCTATTATTTAATGATATTGCTTTTGATGACTCTTAAAGTTTGATGTGATCGTTAGTCATTTGCCACCTCGATTGTTTACATCTTATCTATAAGTACAAATTTTAAGAACTTTATTTGAACAAGATTATCAAAGTACTCATTTGTAACTATGGTATCAAATGCCACTACTTATAACATTTTGTTAAAAGTGTTAATGGCATAATCATAATTTGTAGGTAAGAAAATCATATTGATCGAGGGGTAAGTGTCTATGGAGTTGACTTTAGGAAAATGATCTTTGTCTATACTCATTGTATCCTCGTTTTCTAGGAGTTCAAATTTTCTACTTCTATGAGGTTTTGGATTACATTTTAAATATTATATAATTCTTAGTTGAACGTTCAACCACACCATGCCATTTGTAATAGGCATTTCTTTTTTGCTATTCCTTAGTTAAAATTCTATGTTTTCCTTTGAACTTAACCCTCTTGTTAACCATTAACCAATAAAAAATCTAATCGACTTAGTTTATATAAAAAGAATAATTTCATTCCTTACTAAATTTAAATGACTTTAGGGCCTTTGTATTTTTTTTTTTTTTTTGATAAAGGCATTACAAACCGGAGGACTTCTATAAATAAATTCTACTATATCTACTTTCTATAGAATTGGTTCCTAGTGTTAGTTTTAAAAATCATGGTTTTCTTTTCTCTCTATTCTCTAAGTAAATTATCATACCTAGCAACTCTTATTCCTAACTTATAGACATCTTTAAATTTCATTTTTTTTCCAACTTCTTTCTAAGCACAAATTCAAGTTTTTGTTGAGCTATTCCTATGAATTCTTTTTAGGGATTTTATTATAGTGTTATGCCTTGGCCTTTATGAATATATCTAGGTATACCTTAACATATTCATCAACATGTTTTTTGAATTTAACTAGGTATGACAATCCTATCTCAAGTTTCATTTTTGAAAAATGGGTTTAGAAAATGAACTGCATCTCTCCCCATATATGGATAGAATTAGAAGGTAATTGATGTACTAGAAAAATGTACCATATTCAAAAAGTTAGGAAATAACCTAAGATTAAGAAAATCACGAGTGTGCAACCTCTCTATATTAGGAAATAAAACTTACAATATGCTTTATGATTGTGACTGACCTTTGTCCACTAAATAAGGTAAAACCAAAGAACCCAAAGGTAGGAGGGTGAGGATATTCCCTATCAATATATCTAGGATAAGGACAACTATAGGTCGATTTATGGATTTATAGAACTCTTAGACCAAAAGCTTGCCTTATAACCCTTAAAATGTATTTAGGATCAGGTTGTAAGGTTTAAATAATGAGAAGATAATTTGGCATTTGCTCATTGGTTGGCATCTTCCATCATCCTATATGATTTACCCTTTGCCCTTCTCATTGACAAGCCTATAGTTATGATTCTTTACTTTTGTGGAATCATCAAGATCTAGAAAAGGCTCCAAAGTACTACTAGCTTCTCCTATCATTATGGGCTATTATGTTGGTTGAGTATGTTTAGTTTTAAAAAGTAGATTATCTTTTATACCAAAGCCACCCACATCTCTCTAGAAATCACTATAGGCTTTTTTAGTTGGATTTACTTTGGAGGAACTTGCTTGACAACTCTTTTTGAGAGTTATTCATCTATTTGATTCCCACTTCTACTATCACCAGTTTGAAGTTTTTAAAGACAATTTCAAACATAATATGATTAAAATAATTAATCACAACATTTTTTTTATCCTATACACCAAATGGTTGCTCATAACCACCGGGATCCGATTCCAACCTATGTGATCATGTCTTTTTAAGGTTTGCAAGATATCCAAGTTATGCCTTATTCCCGTAATACTATTTTCTCTTTCCTTGATATTGGATTCTACCAAAGTGTATGTGGCATTATAGGTGGCTAATATTAGCTCTTTGCAATGTTTTTCTATCAATTTTATTTTTAATTTGTGTTTATCCATAATATGTTTAGTCAAAGCTCGATATCTAATTTTTATCAATTTGCAGGCTTCTTTAAATATTTCTTCCATCTAATTTTACCTATCCTTAACTAACAAAATGATAGTGACAACAACAACCTCTTTTGGCTTAGTTGACTTTAACCTTTTTTCTTGTATGGTTATTGCTGCTTGTAGGAGGATGACTTTCATCATTTTCATCCCAAACTCGATAGGACTTTTATTACTTCTTTTTGTGCCATTTAGAATAACACTCCTATTATAATTGTCAATACTCAATTTTGCCTTTATTATTTTATTTCTATTTCTATTTTTATTAAAAAATAAAAAAAAATAGTAAACAAGATTAAAAAAAATGCCAAGTATAGAAAGAAAAAAAATCAATTAAAACAAATAGTTTAAATTAGTTCTAGGAGGGGTAATTAAAAAAAATAAAAAGTTGAAAAAAAAGGACAATTGAGGATACAATTAAAAGATACAACACCTCGATCCTTTAATTAAAATAAAGAGGGGGCATAATTAAAAAAATTCAAGAGAAAAGTCCTAATTAATAGAAATTTATGGGTCCCATCTAAATGAACAATCATAATTGGATTTAAATCGATCAATTATAGGAAATCAAGAACTAAAACAAGTTTTTACCAAAAAAACCTAAAAAATACCTATGAAAACCCCTCTTTTACATTTTTTTTATACCATTTATTGTTCATCACCTTCATTTTTTTCTTCCATTTAATTGCAGTAAGAGCCTCTCACCCGACTCTTTTCTTTTGCCCATAACCCTCTCTCCCAAACCCTCCTCGCCATAGCTAGCCACCCTCTCTTACCACAACCCCCTCTTGCAAGCCTTGTTTTAACAACCCTCTCCCTTTTGCATGCCTTACCCTCGCCATAACCAACCGCCCTCACACGACCCCCACATTGCCCGAGCATCGCCACGGCCTCCCACATTGCCCGACCTTGCCATAACCTTTCCCATCTTGCCCACAAGCTCCCTCACACTAGTGCTAGGCTAACATCCCCCTCTCGTAGCCTTCTCACACGCCTCACTCCAATAGCACCAAGCCTCAAACAGCCCCCTACATCGCTCTATCTCACACAACCCCTCACATCACCCAACATAGCTACAACATTTCCCATCTCTCCTACAAGCTCCCTCGTGCTTCGTGCCGAGCTAATGTCCTTCCTTTCACAACCTTCTTACATTCCTCACCCTAATAGTGCCGAGCCAATGTCCCGTAAGCAACCTCATAGCAGCCCCAGGATACCCTCGCGGCCACCTCATACGCTAGTGTCAAGCCGGCACCCCGCAAGCAACCTTACAATAGCCCAAGCTATCTTCGTAGCCACCTTACGTGCTAACACCGGGCCAACATCCTTTGCCCAACCTTTGCAGCCTTGTTCCATACGAGTCTCGAGCCAATAGTAGCCCCTCTCATAGCTAGGCGGCTCTTATTGCTTTAGGCAACCCTTGCAGCAGCCTACGCAAGCCTTTTGCCTCGCTCGAAACCAAAAGCCAACCAACCACTTTTCATAAAAAAATTTGATGTTTGATTGATTGTGTTTGGTAGGAATAACATGATGTTGTAGACTATGTTTGTATTTTTTTTTAAAAAAAACACAACGAATAACTTTTTTGCTAAGCCCTCTCACGTTGTAGCAATTTTGGTAATTTTTAGAGAAGTTAGAGATTTTCGGAGTTACTATGAAGTTTATAGCAACTTTAGTATATTTACAATAACTTTGGTAATAAGAGTAACTTTGACTACTTGCACCAACTTTAGAGAGACCTTCAATTACTTTAATAAGACCTATACAACATTTTAGTAATGGGCAATCGTTCTCTTTCCTCGATTAACTAAATAATCAATTATTATCGAGGATGAAGAGAGGAGAACCGACCCTTAAATCGGACATTTGAACTATAACACTTTTTGAGTAAAACTTCTATAATGATTATACTTCTTCAGAATTTGAATGAAATTCATTATTATATTTATGGTTTAAATGTTTTTTTTAAGAAAAATGCTACCGTAATTGCTATTGCAAATATATTACCCCATTTAATTATCTCGTAATTTTAGGTGGGTTTGTACCTATTTTTATGGTTTGATTGACTTATTATACTTGATTGCAATGCATCTAAATGTATAATAATCATATCTAATATGTATTATCCAATTACACTATTTTTCAAAATCATTTTGCGTATGTTTTGTTTGTTAGAAAACATGCCATTGGTGGCTTCCTACCTACGTCGATAAAGCTACCAATGGATTTCAAAATAATTTACTTGCTTTTCATTCATTTAAAACGAAGTCTGTCGGTGACTTCTTACTTATGTAATGAAGTTGTTAGTGGTTTTGGAATCATTTTATCTATTTTCTATTTGGTCGAAATAAAGGTATTAGTGGCTTCTCAATTATATAGATGGAGCCGCTAGTGACTCTCGAACCAATTTTATTTAATTTTGAATTATTGAAACAAAACTATTGATGGCTTCTCATTTATGTGATAAAGCTGTTAATGGTTTTGAAACTATTTTATTTGTTATCTATTTATCCGAAACGAAGTTGTTGGTAGCTTTCCATTTGTGTGATGAAGCCGGTAGTGGTTTCGAAACTATTTTATTTATTGTCTACTTGTTTGAAATTAAGCTATCGGTGGTTTTCTACTTATGTGATGAAGCTCGCTAATGGTTTCTAAATAGTTATTTACTCTTTGCTCAAGAAAAATAAACTTATCGATGGCTTTTCACTTATGTGACGAAGTTTTCGGTAACTTATTAAATTGATGACTCGAAGTTATCGGTGGCTTTCTATTAATGTGATCGAAGCCATCAATGACTCATTATTCATGCTATTAAAAAGCTATTAATCTTTAGAAACTCATCCACTTATCGATATAGGTCATGTTTGCTAAAGATTAACCAAAATTCTAACTTCTTCCATCTTTCCTTTTTTAGTAGGGCGTATTGGCCTTAGATCGTCCTAAACCCTACAAACTACTCTATTTTTATATCTTAACAAAATAAACTCACTTAAATAGGCATAAAAGTATAACATAGTAAAAAAAAATTAGATTTTTATTCCCATATACAAACAATGCAGCCTACCTTAGGTAGGACGGGATTATATCTTCCTTATACGTAACCAACCCATTACCTAGATATCTATGCGAACGGTACGTTTAGGGTTTTCTAATTCTCTTCGATTAGCTAGGTGGTGACTCCTTGTTCGCTCGTGCGTTCACCCCATGAGCCCCATCTATAATAGTTGTTAGAAAAAACTATTTAAGTTCTTTTTTGTTGGCCTCAACTAAGAGGTTTGTAACAAAAAAAGATGGTTAGAAAGTACACTATAATGTAATCTATCTTACAAGCTCGTAAGTAAATGAACCAAATTAATTATGTTAAATACAATACTACTAATTCTTATGATGTTTTTGGTATTTTGTCTTAGAAATAAAATAAATTAAATAGGATGTATTTGGTTTGAAAATTCTTGATAGAAGTTCACGACCTACCTAAACTCGGTTGGGTTGTAGGATTGTAAGGACACTAATTTGTAACAATAGTTAATCTAAACTAAGAATTCAATTCTCTATATTAATATGCAATTAAAATAACAAATACAAACTAGAAATAAAAGATTAAATGATCAAAACACCGAGAAAGAAGGGTTGCAAAATCATTGGTAACCCAAAAATTACAAACTTAAAAAGCTTTAATAGTACTTAAAGAACAATATTGTAATCCTTATAATGCTTCGATCTAAAAAAAATAAAAAATTACATTAATAGAGAATGGTAAATATTCACAGATTGGTACTCTAGACATAATATTTTTTAAAAAAACTATAGATCAATATTATCACAAACAAGAGATGAGAACTAGGAACCACTTACCACCCTACGAGTTATAGCCTATTTGATTATTACCTATAAATTATAACCTAACAAGTTCAAGTATGTTGAAACTTGAAAAAATGTGTTTAGAGCTTATTGTAATTTGTAAGAGTTTTGATTATGTGTTATAATATTGTGTGTTTTTCTTTCTATTGTAGCTAGAATTTATAGGCTTTTTGTTACCGCATGATCTTTTATAATAGATCTCTTTCTTCTATACTCTCTTGCATCTTTATATTGCACAATGTTCTTCCTTATCTTATTTCATTACGCTGTAATGCATTATGATTTTATTATGTTATGTCATTTTTATGTTGCATTATGTTTTTGTTATGTTCGTTATTTCTAATTGTTTAAATCATACTTTTATTGATGTTAGAATTTTTTATTCTTCTACTAACTATTCATTGATTGATCTTACCACTAAATGTTATTTTTTCATGTTTTCTCTCATGATCCGGATATTGTTGAGAGTTTCTATTTTGTGTGTTTCTTGTTAGTTTGTTGTTACAAGTCGTTAAGTTTATTTCTTTTAGATCGAGCTTATTTCATCATTAGTAGATATTAGGTCTTCGCTGGTTAGAAATGGCTATGTTGCGAGAAAATAATCAATGGATTTAAGTGAAGTCAATCAAGGAGGTGAAAAAGAAGAACCCATTAGAGAGCTTATTGGGCTTAGTCCTTTTAATTTATTGGGTTTATGGCTTGTATAAATTTTGGTATAACACATCCCAAATAAAATAAATAAATTAATATATTTAAATTAAAAAACCTTCATGATATACTAATCATATAAGGTTTGACGGGGCTTGTGACGGTTGACCAATATCACGAATAATGTTCTAGTCAAAGGCAAGAGCCGCATAACTCGGAAAAAACTTTCAGCATATACGAGTAAAACCCTTTTCCATACTTGCCACCACTCGTCATCAAATATCCAACATGAGTTTCAGTTTCTTGGCTGGATTTTATGTATACCCCTTTTCTTTTGATTTGCAACAATCAAGTTCTCGGACACTATCATCTCGGTTTCTTATTTCCCTTCTAAGGAGTAACCGGCCTCTCATTGGTAGGCAAATCATTAACGGGCAACGATTCCTCAACTGGTGCGAAAAATATGAAAGGATTCTCTCCATTTTCTTGTCCATCAAACCCTTCCTCCTAAGCTTAGCAACTTTAGTAGATCGACTCCGCCAAAAACCCAACCCATAATGTGTCTTCCAATCATAAGTCATGCCAAAAGGATGAACCCCAAGAGTTCCAATCATACGGTCGGGTGGTGAAAAATTGTATTTGGTCTATGGAAACTAAAACCCCTTCATTCAAAAATTTCTATAAATTTCTAGATATCTACATGAATTTCTAAATGGTCCAATTTTGGTTTTTATTTTTGTTTACGTATTAGAATTTAGTGGCTCAATTTATCGGTTTGGATGCTACAACAATGCTCTCACTACTTTGAGGCTATGGTGAATAAAAGAGGAAGGCAAAACATATGAAACTTAAATATTATCTTGATAAAGATTCAAGGATTGTGCGTATACTCGTAAAATATTACGCTCAACATGTAGCATGAAAAAATTGGATGGTGATAAACTTCGATCAAACTCGTAATATGATCTTGTGAGGTATGGTGCTCATCTTGTAGCATGAAAAAATTGAATAGTGATAAAATTTAATGAGAACCGTAATATGATCTTGGTGGTGATAAATTTCAATGAAACCTCTTTTATGATCTTGATTTGTTTGACCGTGCATTCTAAACAATTAGAAAGTTTAATGACATTTTTAACAACCGGTAAAAATTTAACATCCAACGTATTTTAACACGATGCAATCATGGAATGTGGTCTAACGGTAAAAAAATTATTTTCATTTGATCATGATCAAAATTCAATTCCTACTATTCATGAATAACTAGTTATAATTATTTTTTAATAATATTGGGTTTGGGCTCATTTGATCTAAGAAAGAGTTTAGTGATTGATCAAAAGTTAAATGTGTTCCATTGCTCGCTTATTTCAAGAAATGATGAATTTAGTCTCGATTGATGCGAAAACCGGTCAAAAATTACTCCAAAGATGTGGGTTAAAAAAAGTGATAATTTTAAGAAGAGACTAATTAAGATAATAATCAAGAGATATTAAAAATGGAAATTTAATCAAGGAAGTCGTGAGATATTAATATATATCTATTACATGCATCCAAATATATTGAGTTTTTTTTCCTTTCTCAAAATAAGGTATTTTTAATATATATCTATTACATGCAACCAAGGTATTTTTTGTTAGATTATGCTATGCATCCTTTATAATTAGCTACTAAGCTTTGCAACATTGGAAGAAGTCCTTTCTTTAGCTCTTCTAAAACTAAACCTTTTAGTATCATGTTAATGTATCTCGCCTTGGGACAACCCTCACATTATAAGTGGTCTATCTCTATAGATCTATCCTCTTAGAATGTAAGATGTTCTATCATATCATACTTAAGGAAATTCTTTTTAGATATTTTAATCTTTTATAGTTTACAACATGACAATATTATAGTCAAGAAGTAGTTTGTTTAGCTTTTCATGTAGAATAACCGTGACTTACCGGTTCTCACTAACCTTTTATAAACATAGGGTTCATCTTTGTTTTTGTGAAAAATCAAACTCTTTGATTGTTTTATTGAAACATCGACTCTAATTCCTAGAGGCATGTTTAAGTCCATAAATGGACTTTTGTATTTTGTAAATTTTATTTACACATTCTTTAGAACCATCGGGATATGTCATTTACACATCGTTTTCATTTGCTATTTCTAATAGTCAATATCTAATATTGCCTTTTCATAAGTTTCAACATCATCATCCTTTTTAGGGCACACATTGTCATGTGTTAAGACAAGAAGATCATATCTTTTTGTCCTTTGACGAATTCCTTTTTAACTTATGAAATTCTTGTGTTTTGTTTGTGGGTAGTTACAACATATTATAACCTATCTACTTAGGTTCTATTCTTTGGAGTGTTAATTTGTGAGTCTACTTAAATTTTATTGGGTTCTAATTTTCTCCCACTCGTTTCTAGCATCCATATAATCCTTCCCAAGAAAAATAGCACATGTAGTCATGAACAACAATTTGTTTTAGTGTTAAGAAAACAATATCTATTTTTTTCTTTTAGATATCTCATGTATTTACACTTTGTTGATTTAAGCTTTTTCTTTTCTTTGTTAAACCCTTTGACATATGTTTTATAGCCTCAAATCATCAAGGAAAGATATATTTTTTTTTCTTTTCATGTCTCATATGTAGTCTAATCAAATAGATTTAACCGGAACTTTATTCAAATAAAGGTTGCAGTAAGTAGTGCTTATCTCAAAATAAGATAAGGATATAAATTTTTAATCATTATGGATCGGACCATCTCCAACATATGGTGTCTATTGATAGAGAATCTCATTCCCTTTTAGACGATCTAAAATTCATTGCTTGAGTATTCATCATCTCGATCTATAAAAATGCCTTAATATTTTTACTAGAAAATCTAAATTCCCAATTAAAATAGTTTTACATAAAATGAATGATTTCTACTTAAATTAAATATTTCTAGTAAACTTGATTATTTTCGTAGAAACCCGAATTTTTAAGAAAATGGTAGAAATTCACTATTAAAATTAATTAGACTATTTTTTAATTATTTTGGATTTTATGGAACAATGACAAGAATTTATTGATTTAATTGAAATTTTAAGTTAAGGAATTTTTATTAAAGTAATAAACCAAACTTTAATGGTATATTGTATATTAAGAAGATTTTGTAAGTAAAAGAATAATCCAATCAGTTTTAAGTGAAAATAACAAGAATTTTATTCCATTGAATTAATTTAACTAGTTTTATATTGAATAGAATTGTTTTAAATAAAATCCAAATTTTTATAAGGAATTGGAGAAAAATAAAAGACATGGTTCATTTTAGTTTTATTTAAGGTATTTTATTAAAATAAATAAATTGAATTATGAAAATATGAGTTTTTGACCTAAATTGAAGATTTAATATTTCTACACATGTTGTAGGATTATTAATTGATGTTGGATTAATTTTTTGAAAACATTTATACTAGATTGTAAGGGAGATTGGACCTAATATTTTTAATTATTTGGGACGTTATATGCAAATTTATCATTAAAACTTATTAAAATAAAAAGAATTTAGAGAGGAGGATTGTTGTTTTACATTCATTGCACTAGGAATGTAAGCTAATGCTAATAATTTTCTCAATCTATTTAGGTCGTATGTAAGAGGTGTTACATCGTAACCCCCATCTACCACAACTCTCCTTAATGTGTTCCTTTACCTAGCCATTACATGGATTGCTTGAGCATATTCTTCTCGGATCTTGGTTATTTCTTTTTGGCTAGCCTAATATGTCCTTTTTTAGCTCATCCGGATAAGTGTTCAAATGATGAATTATCCGAGCTTCATTTGCAACTTGGGTTTTAGTGGTCGCTTTGACTTCATTAAGATTTTCTTTATTAGTTTTGAGTTCTTTAATTTCAACTTGAAGTTTTCTTTTCTCAAAGTCAAGTTTAGTCATTTTCTCGATCATCGTTGATGTGCAATTGATTAAACGATCATATTTTGTACCCAATGCTCGATCAACCCTCAACTATCTTAAAGCCTCCTTAGTTTGTTGGAGTTGAGCTCAAAGCACCTCCTTCTCCTTTTCTAGGGAATCCACTATTTGGTTTCGAGCCTTAAGGTTTTGTTCCAATTTTCTCTCTTTTTTTTTCTCTTTCGCTCTTTCATTTGAGAACTCAAATCTTCATGATAGAACTCATGTTAGGCATTTATCTCTTAACGGGTATCTTCTATTATTTCATTTATCAATCGTGATGGACCCTTGAAGGGTGGAACTTAATACCTTTTTCTCATAGTTTGCTACCATTTTTGATAACCGAGTGAGGTCTTTCCATCCACTCTCCTTATCGGGGTGATGATTCCCTTATGTCTCCAAGCGATTTTAGCTTTTTTTAGGAGTTTCTCGGAAGTTTTAAGGTTGTCATGATACTCAACCAACCTAGTAGTCATTGGAATGAATTGCTCAAATTCCAATTGTCACGTAAATATATTTGGGTAATAACTAATGAAACATCTAGCTTTAATCAACAATACCCAAGAAAAGCTATCACAAGTAGGCTCGGTAGGAGTAGAAGAATGCGTAGTATGCTCTCCAATGGAATTCGGACTTTTCTAAGCTATAACATATTTTGGTCTAGGTGGTTTTTCAAACCTCATTAAGAGGATGGTGAACAATGTTCTCCAATTTAGAGTATGAGTGCCAAGGTGCTAGAAAGATTTTAGTGGCATTTTCAATCACTAAATAGCTTACGACCTAGACAAACAAAAGTTGACTACAACACCTTAGATGTCCATCACCCTTTCTCCTATAAAAAATCATCGATGAAAGTGTTTCTACTAGGATTGCTCGTTATAGGGTTGACCTTAAGCGACACTACACTCTTAAACACATTGATCACTTTAAAGTCGATCATTCCTTCTGCTATGGTAGTAATACCAACCCATATATTTTCGCAGCTAAGATCCTTAATCTAATGGTGTTATCATGATCATTCAGCTTGTTTCATGAATTCTAATTAGAGTACATTCCAGAACTATCCTTGACTCGACCCCTCCTAGTTGCTTGTTTAACTATGGTTATAGGATCGATTCCAACTAACCATACAAAGTTGGAAGGTGCTTATTTGGGTAAACTATAAAAGTATGCAACACTTGCTTTGGAAAATGCCAACAAGTCCTTATATTTTTTAAGTGTAGATGAAAGATCCACACTTCTAAAGGTGAAATATTGGTATTCGGGATCCCAATACCCTATCATTGCTTGAAAGCGAGGAGATGTGAGTTTTGATCCTAAGTAACCGAGTTATGTCGCCATATGACTTCTAAAAGTCAAATCGATCTTGGGTTGTAAGCCTTTCAATAATCGAGGAGTGGGTCTACATTGGCCATTCTATTAGTAAATCTCATTTTTTTGACAACTTTGACACGAAGTTTGAGGGTAGATAGTCTTCTTCCTTAAATTAGGCCCACTCGATTTGGGCCTAAAATCCTCAATGTCATTCTCTCGTCATGATTTATTTAGATGATAACTATAGAAATAAGGGTTAGAATTTGACATCATTTTACGGATAGTTTGTGTCTTAAATGAACAATCTTGGTGGATAGAATCTAGTTTTTCTAGGGTTTAGGCAAAACATATCTAATAC